GGAGTGAAGCTTCCCGGGGGAGGAAACATCACCTCACCTGTCCCTGCCTGCTCTACTTTTCTCCGTTTCTGCCCATGCAGGTTGGAAGATAAGAGGAGCCAAAGGCCCCTTCTGTTTGGGAGGAGCTGGCATACTCTCCATCCTTCCCAAGACCAAGGGGGAACCTGAGAGGACTCTTGGGAGGGACAGACTATCAAGGACCTTGTTTCTTCTAGGTAAAGGGCCCCTCCTGGCTCACATGGGAGTCTGGCCCTTTAGCCAAGGTGGCAGCCCAGGTAAGGATGTGTGATTGAAACATTAGACGGTAATAATGATTTTGTTCTGAGTTTCTATCCTCCTCTCTCTCTCTTTTTTCTTTTTCGAGTCAGAGTCTCACTCTGTCACCCAGGCTGAAGTGCAGTGGCACACTCGTGGTTCACTGCAGTCTGACCTTGGGCTCAGACAATCTTTCCACCTCAGCCTCTCAAGTAGCTGGGAATCCAGACATGCCACTATGCTTGGCAAATATTTTTGTAGAGACAAGTTCTCACTATGCTGCCCAGGCTGGTCTTGAATCCTTGACCTCAAGCAATCCTCCCATCTCTACCTCCCAAAGTGCTGGGATTACAGGTATGAGCCACCGTGCCCGACCCTGTTCTTCTCTCTTGAGAAGTCCTAATGGAGGTGGGTAGTCAGCCAGGATGTAACTTATCCATGACTATTAAACCACTACTAGATTCCTGGTTTGGAGGCCTGAGGAAAGGCTGATATATGAGTGAAATAACCAGAGACAGGAAAAAATTCAAAAGGTTCATAGTGCTCTACAGATGATTTATTATTATTATTATTATTATTATTGAGTAGGAGTCTTACTCTGTCATCCAGGCTGGAGTGCAATGGCATGCTCATGGCCACTGCAGCTTCGATCTACTGAGCTCAGGTGATCTTTCTGCCTCAGCCTTCCAAGTAGCTGAGACCACAGGCATAAGCCACCACACCCAGCCAATTTTTTAATTTATTGTAGAGACGAGGTCGTGCCATGTTGCTCAGGCTGGTCTCGAACCCCTGAGTTCAGGCAGTCCTCTTGTCTCTGCCTCCCAAAGTGCTGGGATTACACACGTGAACCACTGTACCCAGCTGATGATATATTTTTTTTAAGGGCTTGGCACACTCACCATTACATCCAGTTGCTGAGGAAGGAAGATTTTTTTTTTGCTTAGAAGAGAGCAGTAAATAACATACATCTGTGATTCTTAACCTTTTTGTTTTTTAAATCATGGATCCCCTAAAATATAATGAAAATTACGATTTCCCTGAGAAAACACACAAGTGCTCCAGTTTAGGGAGTTTACAGACCTAGAAAAGTTCACAATTGAATGCTATTTTTCAATTACTATATATACACGATTGGGGGTCTTAGCTCAGAGGGAGTCATGGTGGGATGTCCCAACTCTTGCAATGAGTTTTTCTTATAAGTGATGTGATGGAACACCTCTCTGGTAAACCAAAGTTCATCATTATCTGTAAGTCAAAACAATAAATGAGAACATCTATGGGAAATGAGCTGGAAAGGAATAATTCCTGTCCTTGCCTCCAGTTTACACATGGTAGGTCTGTGCCTGGATCAGGAAGCATGACAGGGCATGGAGGAAATGGATCTTCCCCTCTGAAGGAGGGAGGGGAGCGAGTCAACGTTTCCGCACTCACCCCCAACACAAAGGGGTGGTGACCATAGGAAACAAGGACAGAAGTGGCCACACTCACCACGCCAGCCTCGGGGTTCCTCTTCCTCCCATTGCTGAAGGTGGAGGCCAAGGTGGAGGAACAGCTCTCATCATACAATGCAGTCCTGCCATCGTTGATGGCTGAGTTGATGGAGATGGTCCACATGCTGGAGGCGTAGCCGTCACAGTTGCAGTCGTCATAGCTGCCACCATCCCCAGAGGCCCACACATAGATGCTGCCTTTGCCGCCACGGCCCTAGGGAGAAGAGGGAAAGACATTACCCTTCACTTCAATGCCCGGGCTGCCAGGGGATGTCCAGGCCCAGGGGTAGGGTGGGTCCCAGCCCGGGGAAGGTCCTGGCCTGGGGAGGGTCAGGGTTTGAGCTTCTTCACTGGCTGAACCTAATGACTGGATTCACTCTTTAGTTTGGCTGAAGCCATAGTCTTCTGGGGAGCACTGTGGCAGACTTTTTCTTCAGGAAGAATCCGATGTAAAGAGTCACCTGAATTTGCAATTTAAGCTGGAGATAATGAGGTGAGAAACGCTGAAAGAATCTCCTTAAGCTCTACAAATGAACTGCTTTTGTGAAAAGCTATCAAGGTAGTACAGACTCACTGTAAGAAAGCCAAAGTATATGGAAAGGAAAATGAAAGAAAACTCTCTAGAGGTCATTGTTATTATCCCATTTATATGTATCCTTATGTATCAGAAATTTTTCAGTGAAAATTTAAGTACATGTACATATATTTATTCTTAGCTATAGAAGATATACAAAATATTTATAGTAGACATTTTTTTTTTAGCTGGAGTCTCACTCTTGTCACCCAGGCTAGAGTACAGTGGCACACTCATGACATATGTCTTTAAAATAGTTGTATATATCATATATACATGTAGATATTATAAATATAAGATATATGTTTACCCAAAAATATATTAATATCTTACATATATGTACACACATATATATAGATATGTTTTTTTTCTTTTTAATTCGCCCAATTGGATCATACTAGAATCTTGTTTTTTTATTTATTTTGAGACACAGTTTCGCTCAGTCACCCAGGCTGGAATACAGAGGCATGATCATGGCTCACCATAGCCTTGACTTCCTGGACTCAAGTGACACTCCTGCCTCAGCCTCCCGAGTAGCTGGGACTACAGGTGTGAACCACCATGCTTGGCTAATTTTTCTGTTTTTTGTAGAGAAAGGGTCTTGCTTTGTTGCCCAGGCTGGTGGTCTTGAACTCCTGGGCTCAAGCAATCCTCCCGTCTCAGCCTCCCAAAATGCTGGGATTATAGGTGTGAGCCACTGTGCCCAGCTATAATCCTATTAAACATAATATTATATGACATTATACTTCTGCAAGGTAATACCAAATATAGAAAGAAAATCTAACATGGTCAAATAAAACATATGGCAAATAAAACTTGAAACACATCATACTATGCACAGTAGTTATTATCAAACACTAATGATCTTAAACGGCAGGCTTTGTCATAAATTAGCATTGCTCTTCTGTTCAAACCATGCTCTTAGTGGTTTGAAAAAATCCTTCTTTTTTTCTTTCTGTATCTCCTAGGAGTATTCTATCTCAACAATCAGGATTGGACCATTTGCTTCTTGCTTCCCACTTTTTTATCCCCCCCAACCCAGACAATGAGGCTTGAGGCTCCTTCCATTTCACTTCGGACTGGGCAGCTGGGCAGGAGCACAGTCATACAGCGTGGGAAGTGAGGGACCAGTGTGCAGCCTCTTTGCCCCCCACCCCACAGCCTGGCCTAGGGGGTTTGGTGGTCCTTTAGAGCAAGAATATAGAAGATACTGGCAGAGAATGTCTGTCCCTGTGTAGCCACCAGGTGTCCACTGTCCTGACTCAGTGGTTTAATTGTGGAGATGTCAGAAAAAAAGAAAAAAACTGAATTTCCTACAAGCTCTGTCTGCCTCCTGACAGTGAGATGTGACATTTTCACTTGCTTCGAACAGGACTGGGAGTTAATTAGCTTGTGACTGATTGAATCGATAAGTCAACAAATATTTATTCAACCACGGACTGGGAACTGTCCTCAGCGTCTTGGTAAATCTATACTGGAGAACTCCAACTGAACAATAAATTGCTCTCAGAAACGAGGACAGAGAGGGAAACAGATCATTTCTACAGCTGCTGCAGAGAATCGCACTCTCCAGAGGACTCAGATTTGGGCTCAGTGTCAAGAAATGGCACCTTCTGAAAGGGAAACTGATGTGAATCAGGATCAACGGGTGAAGTTGACCATCTGCAGAACTTTCCCCAGTCCACACGTCAGCTGCCAGTGAGATGAAACCACCTTTGTTAAAAGGGAGGAAATTCATGCTAAAACATTCTCACCTTTAGGTGAGAAGGGAGTGTGGAATATTGATCACGACTCCAATTTTTCACAATTCCCTATATCCATACCTTTTGCACTATGACTCTGCAGCCCCACCCATCAAGAGGAGGGGTCTACCTTCTGCCCTAGATTTCAAGTTGGCCCCGTGTCTTGCTTTAGCCAAAAGAAAGTGATTCTGTTCCAAGCATGGATCTCAAGAAGTCCTGTATTCTGTGCTCTCTCAGAACTCTGTTGCACCACGAGAATAAACCTGGGTCAGTCTGCTATTTGATGAGAGATGCATACTCTAGTCAGATTCACTGGCCCAGTTGCCAACCACTAGGCATGTAAAAGAGGCCATCCTACACCAGTTCACCCTGCAGCTGACCAAAGAAGGATGAATGAGGCCAGATTAGTCAAGGCTGGTCCAGAGCAGCAAAACAACCCAGTCGACCTGTAGACCCATGAGCAAGATCAACTAGCTGTCATTTTAAGCTACTGAATTTTGGGGCATTTTGTTATGCAGCTAGCTCACTGGTACACAGAGAGCAACTATCAGTCTATTTCTGAGCAGTAAACAGCAAAGTTTTGTATTATACAGTCAGGCTTGCCCACCAGAATACTTTGTTTTTTTTAGAAAAAATAAACTTGTTTTCCTAAGTGAGATAGAACATATGAGGCAATAATAATTATACTCTTGCTTCTAATGATTTGGTTTAGCACCAAACAGTCCCCGATTCTGGGGAAGATGGGTGCATGAGGAGAAAATTGGAAGTTGGGGCAGAAATGGATGGGGATGAAGCATCTCTAAGACTGCAAGCTGGATACGGGAAGGCCTGTTATTGACACGCCACACTGCTATGGTTTGAATGTATGTGTTTCTCTAAATTCGTATGTTGGAACCTAAGACCCAATGTGACAATATTAAGAAGTGGAGCCTTCATGAAGTGAAGCCTTCAGGAACTTCAAGAGGTTCCACCCTCATGGATGGGATTAGGACCCTTTAAAAAGGCTCCAGGAGAGTAGCTAGGCCCCCTCTGCTCTTCCACCATGTGAGGACATAACATCTGTCCCCTCTGGAGGATGCAGCAAAAAGGTGCCATCTTGGAAGCAGAGTGTGATACTTCATCAGACACTGAACCTGCAGTGTCTTGGTCTTGGACTTCCCAAGAGACATTCCTGCTCTTTATACATTACCTAGTCTGTGGTATTTTGTTATAGTAGCACAAATGAACTAAGACATAGATTTTCCTATTAAAATAATGCCCTAAGATCCCATATCCAAACAACAACCAGTTAGAGGAGGCAATGCAACAAACAAAAGCCAGTCATAGAAAGCATATATGTGACACATACTGTGTGCTCTAGGTACTTACAAAATATTCAGTTGAGTCCCTACAGCAACTGTACATTGCAACACCATTTACACTAGCCTCACTGAGGATACTTAGGAAGACACTCAACAAGCTACAAAAAAAACCCCACCCCAAACAGAGTGCTAAACAAAACTTTGAAACTCTATGAGTTTCGACAGATTCACAAACCACCCCAGAAAAAGTGCTCCATACCTTATTGCTAAATATCACTATGGTCACCTTTGAAGCACTCCCGTGGGGAAGCTGTGTACTGATGCCAGTACCTAGTCCACCCGTCAAAGCAGTTTTGGAACTCTTTTTCTGGAATGGCCATCAGAGCTGTTGTTGTTATTTGTTGGTGTCTGACAATTAAGTTTACAAACTTGCCACCATGCACTTACACTGGCAGCACTATACAAATAACTATATTGGAACACCCTCCCTACTCACCAGATCTGGCCCCCAATGACTTTTTTCTTTACCTGAAGATAAAGGAAATATTGAAAGGAAGACATTTGGTGACATTCAGGACATCAAGGGTAATATGACCCCATGGAAATATATCATGTTCTTGACTAGAGAGACAGCATCACAGCAATGTCAAATTTCCCAAATTTAATGCATAAATTTAACATGATCCCAATACATTTACAGGACTGTATTAATCGAGATTCAGACAGATATTGTCACACTGGGCAGGTAAGCAGAGGGGATTTTATCCAGGGAACAAGTGGTAAAGAAGCACCCCAAATCCAAGTTGGGCTCCGGAGGTCACTCAGAGATTAGGAACTCTCTAAGGTCCGGAAATGGAGGACCAAGGGAAGTGTGCCCCGGGCGTGGGTGCCATGGAGGGAGAGCTGGGCTCGCAGGGGGTGGGGCTGTCTGCTGGGGGCGGGGTCTTTGCACATACTCTGCTGCACATGTTCAGTGAGTGGGCTGGCAGTCAGTTGCCTGTGGGTTTGCTTCGGAATTGTCTCCCCCTCCTTCTTGTACTCCTCTGCTGCTTTTAATTAATTAATTAGTTAATTTTAAATTTAAGAAGGTAAGTGCATTTAGGTGAAATTAAATAAGTGGTGCAACTCCACTTTGAATTCTGTCTTCGAATCAGGCAGTCGTTTGGAGTTCAGCAAGACGAGTGTATCTCAAACGTTTTCACCCAATGAAAACTTCTCACCTAGGCACTACGGATGGTACTTAACCACTTTTGTTCTCAACCGGGGGCAAGTGACTTTTGCTGCAGGGCACTGATGGAGACATTTTTGGTGGTCACAACTGTGTGTTATTAGCATCCAGAGGGCATAGGCCAGGGGTACTACTAAACTTTTTCAATGGATAGATGAGCTTTGTCATTCCCTGGCGAAGAATTATTTCGCCCAAATTATCAGTAGTGCCCAGGTTGAGAAATCCTGCTCTAACCTAATGGTAAGGGACAGTGAAACGGAACTCACTGGGCATGGTGTAGGCATCCTCTCATACACCCAAAACTTCTTAAAAGTTCATGCAGATTTCTCAGGTTGCTCATAACACAAAAATAATGTTACACATTGCTTA